GGTGATTGAGCGGATCTGTGATGGTGGTGCTTTGTCGGAAGTCGTCGGTCTCATTCTTCACCTGTACGCCGCCGTCGAAAGTTGTCGACGGAATTTTAGATCAAGGTGACGATGGTGTTTTTGGCTGAGTGATGTAGGTCTGCTGTGAAGGATGTAAGAACAGGGGAGAATGGAAGTGCGTACGAAGGGGTTGGAATATTTGGTTTATTTATTTGTTTTTTAATTTCAAACTGATAAAGAAACAAAAAAAATGAAAAAAAAATAGTAAGGGTAAGACGGTCATTTCATGTCAATAGGGACTGAGCGCGCAAGAAAACAAACATATGGATGGTCCGAGTTAATTTTTGAAAATAGGGACTAAACACGCTTTCCGACATGTGTACGAGGGACGAATGGTGTAATTTACCCATCTTTTTAATCAATCAAAGTGTGGACGTGGATCATTTGATGCCACAATATGTAGACTTTGTAGTATGGTTTGATGTGCCGATCGAATTGGCTTGCCTTCAATTTGGTAATGCTCAAGATGTTGGAAAATATAACACAAGCTTATTGACTTCAAGTTTTTTTTTTCTTTTGAGGAAAAGAAGCTTATTTACTTTATTATGTTGAGCATATTTAGTTATTTACAATAAGCTAAATAATTAGACCAAGAACTTTTTTGTTAACTAATATAAAGTAATAAAACATGAATTCCATTCGTTTATGGTCATATATATTTCCCGCTAGACATACCGACTCATACACAACATTGGAGTATCGTTTTCAATTTCAATATTGACTGGAGTTTTTGTGGAATGCAACTTTAATATTATCTAATTTACATTTCATATGATGCCCATAGATAAGTCAATATATATGTCAAGGTCAAAGACTCAAAGTTGTGCAAAAAATAACCCTTTTTACAAAAATGTAAATGTTTTTCCTTGGACCTTCAACCTTTCAATCTTATTACTATTTTCCCTTGCTTTTTAACCACGCAAACCAAATCTTAAAACCCTTAAAAGGTACAGTAGACACCACTATTCGTATCGATGTTCCATGTCACACCCACAAACATGTCTTTGAAGCTCAATATGAAACCAGACCATGAATATTTTCACCACCAAACGTTTGTAAAAGAACACATGTTTGAGAAACGACTGACTCCCAGTGACGTCGGGAAGCTCAACCGCCTCGTCATCCCCAAACAGTACGCCGAGAAATACCTTCCGGTGATCTCCGGCAGCCTGGTTCTGAGCGTGGTGGACGAATCCGGCAAGCAGTGGAAGTTTCGGTACTCTTACTGGAATAGCAGTCAGAGTTACGTTTTCACGAAAGGGTGGAGTCGTTTTGTTAAAGAGAAGAAGCTTGAAGCCGGCGACGTCGTGTTTTTTCAACGTCAGGTGGTGGACTCCAGTTCAGTCATGGTTCTTGGGTGGAGGCGGCGGATGAACGACGGTTGGATTTCATCGGAAAAGCCAGGTTATTTGTTACTTGTATTTGACTTTTAAAGCGTTAAATGTAAAAGAAATAATGTATTTCATTATTTGTTCATTATGGCAACTTATTTTTATATAATTATTGTTTTTTGTTAGATTATTTTACTATATTTTTTATTTAAAAAACTATCTTATTTATAACAATGTGCTTTCAATTTTTTTCATACTAAAATAATACATTTTCAAAACTCTTTAAAATTATATCAATATTTTTTTTTAATATATGGATAACATTGTTTAAGTCATATATTGTAATAGAACAAAAAATAAGTAACATTTTGTAATAAGTAAGTATTTGAAAATGCATTTTTATTTCTAATATTTGATTATAATTTTAATTATATAAGCATATATTTTTTCTTGTCTGAGAATAATTATTATTTATTTGAGACAGAGATGATGAAGTATAAAACAGTGAGGCTTTTTGGAGTGAATCTGGAATGTAGGACCCTTGAAGCTCAGGAGGACACAATAAGTGACATGAAGCCACCCACACCTGATCATGGTTGTTTTATTACTAACATGGTAATTATTCTATAAGTAGTTATTAAAAATTTAACTCTAAGATAAATATTTAATTAAATTATATAACATTCAGGATAATCACAAAAAATATCAACATTGATGGGTCTATTTAAAAAAATACCATCTATTTATTTTTACCCAAATAAACATCAAGCAATGAGACAATTGCAAAGTACTTTTACTATTTTTTTATAAGAGTAACTTGAATAAAATCATATTTTCATTAAATATTGTACACTTTAAAATATATGATACATTTAGCAAAATTTTATATATATTTTTTTAATTTTCTTGTGTTGAAGATTATTTCAAAAGCATATTTGTGATTCCTAAAATCGTCATGTTGTAAAAATGATAATCACGTATGGAGAGAAAAAAAAATGGCGATGTTATTAAATGGACCATCAATTATGTCATTTTCATGAGTATACATACGATTCAAATATTTATATTTAATTAAAAAATATTTAAATCACCAGGAAAACAAATATTTGATTGGATGGGTAAATTTGTTTGGGTGTGCAGGAGAAAGAGGGTATTTTGGAGATGGGGCCATGGAGGCATATGTAGACAGAGAAAAGGGTACTGTAGGGATTCCCCCCCTGAAAATTCATTTTAAGGTTTGATGATGTATCCAAGTATCATGATTCATCCCCATCACCAGTGTTAACTGTTATTGTTAATGTCCTTTCCCTTTTTCCTGTCTCTATCCAACTATATATATATATATATATATATATATATATATATATATATATATATATATATATATGGAT